AGCTTCCATGATGTTTCAGTACTTTGTGAAAATTGTTCCTACGGTATATGTTCAGATTGATGGAGAGGTGAGTCAAGTCTCCTGTACACAAAAACAGATTGTTATTTTTGTATTGTTGGGATTTCTTCTGCCATGGAAGCTGAATAGTGCAGTGTAACCCATCTGACATCCAGACTGGACTGAAAGAAGAAGAGAGAGAATTGAACACTGCTTGACCTTTTTAAAGATCAAGAGCCAAGTCATGACAGCCAGTCTGAAGTCACCTGTGACAGATGTACTGGAGTAAATTGAATCTGGGTAATTGCAGTCTGTTACTGCGCTCCGTATAGCTTTTTTTATAGCTCATTGGTGAATTTTTGTGTTGGCTTTTAGGTCTATGATGATGGCAATATAATAAAGTTTAATAAATTAAAGCTCCTCCCCCACATATGAAAGCAAAGACATGCTTCAGGTGTGCACACATACCAAAGCAATGATTGAACCACATGTATTCGTTATCACCCTGCACACCAGATGGGGGGCACCGATTCTAGGGCCATCATTCACTGTTACCTCAATATTTGATGACCTGTAAAGGCCTTTAAGCCGTCACCTGTAGACAATTGTAGGTAATAATGTTAAGTCTTATGTGTTTGGTTTTCTGATTGCTTGACACAATCTCATCCATCCTCCTTCTCCTTTTTTTTTTTTTACCAAAAATTGGGTATTGTGGTTGTGTGCATTAAAATTAATTTGAGTGAATTTTTAAAAAAATAGAAAATCTAGATTTGATAAACGTTGGTGCAAATATCGCGTGACGTCAAAATTGCTAACTGTCACCATTCTACTCTACAAGGTCCCTGCTTTCAGTAAATGTATTGAATGATTTGAGTGTTTGAAGTAATGTTAAGGCCTGAAATGTGTATTTTACATGAAAAGTTTTGGCAGCAAAAGGTTTGCCACAGAGTACCTGCTGATCGACGCACACTCACAACTCTTTGATAAGTGTAATGCTGCTGGGATTTCCAGGGTCTGGGGATCACCATTTCTGTGTACTAAACCTGCCATTGTAGCGTACCTTTACTGCAAGAACTTTTGTCCTTTTAACATTGTCTATCTCATATTTAGGTTTTACGCACCAATCAGTTTTCAGTTACCAGGCACGAAAAAATTGCCAACGGGCTGATTGGAGATCAGGGATTGCCCGGTGTGTTTGTGTTGTACGAGTTGTCCCCGATGATGGTAAAACTCACAGAGAAGCACAGGTGAGCCATATGACAGTCCCCATGTGGACCTGCTGCACTCTGTAAAATTCTGATCACTTTGGTCAACTTGTTCCATGTTTTTCAGGTCCTTTACTCATTTCCTGACTGGAGTGTGTGCCATTATTGGAGGAGTGTTTACAGGTAAATGTACAATCTGTGCTGTATGATATTTGTATCGTCCTAAACATACATTACCCTTTTATTGAAAATGTTCTTTTGCAGAAGATTAAAGAATCACTGGATACAATTCTCTGTATGACCTCAGTAAGCCTCAGCTGTTCTAGAAATGTCAATCAGACATGAAGTCATTCTGTTATTTGGCCACTAGGTGTCACTTGATTAACAATAAAACATTTTTATCAGTAAAAGTTTGTTAGCTTAGAAAAGAATCTGTGAATACATTGCTTAGGGCTATTTTTTTTTTACCAGAGGAGGGCCTAATATATTTCATGTGAAGGTGCACTAAATATTAAATATTGATCATACTGTACATGCATGCGATTTCTGGTGTCATGTTATCCTTTGTGTGGACACTATCTGCATTACATACTGTAGACCAGTGATTGTCAACTTGCAAGGCAAAGGGGTCCTCAGCTGAGGTTACTAAAGGGCTGCACATAATGTACCGTATATTTCAGGGGTAGGCAACCTCGGCACTCTAACTTTAGTGAAACTACAAATCCCACGAGGCATTGCAAGACGGACAGCCTGGGGCTCGACTCCCAGAGACAGAGGCATGACAGGATGTGTAGTTGGAAGTGCTGAGGGTGCCAACCCCTGGTGTATGTAATGGTGCAGAAGACTTTGAGACTGCATACTTACCAAAGGAAAGGGTCAGAAACTGAGGACATGCTACAGGTGTAGAAGGTTAGACCATGTTACATAAGACTGCTAGAGTTGACTCCCATTACAGCCACTTTACAAAATCATCACTCCCACTGCTGCCTGCTGAAGTCCAAAGGTTACATGGCAAGCACTAAATGGCCCCACATAGCCTTAGAGCACAAGGTGTGCAACAGGGCTGTAGATTAATTGGCATGCATCCCCTGTACACTGTAGTGTGTGTGTGTGTGTGTGTACAAGTGCCATAGGCAGATACAATTGTAAGCTCCTTTGCACTTACTGTCTTTGTAACTAGTCCTTCATAATTGTGGCTTTCTTTCCAGTTGCCGGCCTGATTGACTCTCTCATCTATCACTCCACACGTGCCATTCAGAAGAAGATTGAACTTGGGAAAACAACATAAAGTAAGATCTCTTCCACCCCCAGATACAGACCAGAGACCAGCCAGCGTGCTCAGCCATTTACAAACACGGACTGGTAACCTTAATGACGGAGAATGTGTGAACATGGACACCCTCCACATTGTCCTGACAAAAACACGAGAGATTTGTTTTCTAATGGTCGCAAGTCGGAGCCAGCGTTGTGTACAGAAATTTTTATTCGAGTGACATACAAGCTATCTTGACTGCTGTCAGCCGGTCCATGGCACGTGTGCAATTTTAATTTGATTCTTCCTTTGCGCTGCCCCAAATGGAAGCTGATGGTATTTACGTAGCACTCCTGGCTGAATTATAGGACTGGAATCATCCTCTGTCATTGCAGCCAGACCACAGAAGGTCACCAGGGGGGGACTGTGGGCTTGTGGCACACCGGAAGCTATACGCGGGTTTGCGCTCTGTTGGAACAAAAGAAGAAATGACTCTCCAGTGACCTAATGAATAACGGTTGGCAGTATTTCTGACCGGCTAAACATTCAGGAAATTTTTTAAAAATCTGTCTTAGAACTTTGTGAGTCTAAAGCTGATCTTGTGGAAATACTTCGCTTGTGTGAGACTTCAATGAAGATTGTACTCGGTGGCCGACTCCCTACTGGCTCTTCACTAAGGCTCCTGGTAGATATTTATTGGTGGCACACGGCACCACGACTCTTATGATTTTCCTTCTCTGGAGATTTTTGTGGACACGTTTTTTCAACTGGAGCTGTCTCCGGAGCAGGAATTTGGCCTTTGTCTAAGGAAAATACTGCACCCCATGTTCTTTTCTGTCCATTATTCTAGTGTCTGGGAGACGCATTAGAGGCACTAAGATGCACTACGCTATGATTTCTGCATTGTGATATGAATAGGGCACCTTGACACCGTACAAGCAATGCAACTTTATACAAGGAGGTCTGGCGACACAGGCCCAGGTTTTGAGGCCATACAGCATGGGCAATTCAGTCCAAGTCTGCCCCCCCCCCTTCCCCGTGATGTCTGCTGCCTGGCAGGTAAACATCTAGTGTTGGGCTGCCTGCGCACTATTGTCCTGTAGACTTGCATGGGAGAACCTGTACTGCAGAAGCAGCATCCCATTCATGTGTGTGGAACGTTCGTACGTGGGTGGCCCTGGAAAATGCACAGTTGTGGCTTGTATTGGGTCCTGGTGTTTGAGGCACATCTGTGTATCTGTTCAGGAGGTGTGCAGAGCAAGTATGAAGATTGTATGTTTGACTTCCCTCGCGGTATACCTGTTATGTGCCAGAGACAGACCGGCATATAGTAAATGTAAATGAGGTTAGCAGTGGTAGTCTTTATTATCTCTTGTCACAAGTAACCTTTGAAGCAGAGCTCTACCTTTAGTACGATTGTCAATTAATTAATCCCAGCCCCCTGAGTGCAGCCGACCTGGTAACAAACTTACCTTCCAGCAATCTCCACCGTGCGGCTTTGCCTGGCACTGCCCAGCTTTGGCAACAAAAGCGCCCACTCTGAGCCCTCGTCTTGCTGCACATGCAGTATGAGGAACAATTCCTGTGAACAGTACACTGGTTTCCTGTGCAAATATGTTATGTGAGAGCGCCTTATTTCCTCTTGTAGATTGGCTCAAGGTACCAAATAAAGGAATGTGTGGAAGAAAAAAATGTCACAACTTGAATTCAATATATCGGCCAATATTTATGAAGTTCAGCAAAGAATGCAATAAATATAGGAAAATAAATGGGATTTTGGATAAGCTGATGAAAACACTACAGGAAATGTAGAATATTACACTTTATCATCATCGTGGGTTTAGGTAAATTGAGGCGGACCTTTCATCCAAATGGTGACATTCATCCATTCCAGCAAGACTGTAAACACTCACTTTATAAGGAGGGTTGGCATTAAATATTTAATGGATAAGACACTACCCCAGGCTCCCTTCATTCTGGTCACATGACCAGAACTATAGACTTATGGTCAAACAATATCTATTAAAGGGGAGGGTAGGAGTTGAGGTTTAATTGTCCCTGTTTATCAAAGATCATGTTTGTAATGGTCTAGGCTTTTGGGCTTGTGAGTGGCACTGGAGGAGCAACATTTCCTCTAGGACCAGACTATGCACACAAATATTTACATACACTGCAGCTATAGGAATTGTGGAGAAATCCATTTTCAAAGTTCACAACAGAGGCACAGAAATCTTTGTGGGTTATTTTTTCCCATGGGAGCAGATCTTGGCAGTCTGCCAACCCTCTCATGTAAACGCACAGCAGGTGTTTCTTAGCTGATATAAACTGACTAAATCCTGACTTTAGAGCCTTTGTTTTCATCTTTGAGAGTTAATTATTTCACTGTACAAGCAGCTAGAGAGGTCAGGGATGGTTTATTTTAAAGCTCTTTTACTGCTTGTTAAGAACATGTCCATAAAGTGCACCTGCGCCCAGAGTAATATATATATCTATCTATATCTATCTATACATACATACATTTGAGTAAAACAGAGCTGGACAAATCCTAGGAGCCAGGTCACCAATGCTCCTTAAAAATTGAGGTTTTCTCTAGTTGTCAATGGAGTTGGCTCCGAAAATGAATTCTGCTGCCTATTTAGGTGGATTCAGATACTAATTGCACTCTAAATGCCCCCCTGTATTGACAGACATTTGTTCATGTCAGAACTTTTTTCTCTATACAAGCTGATGGAAACCCATTAAGGGACACAGGAAGTCTCAAACCTCTGGGTTACACTGCAGCCTTCTGGAGGATTGGACACCGGCAAGCAAAAATAAAACCTGTACTCCCTACACCCAGAGCCTGGTGTTCCAGGACCTGTGTCACAGGTGGGGGATACAGACTGTAAACCTCCTGCCTCCAGGTTTATCAAACTAGACAGATTTGTCTCCAGGGACAGCTGTCCTTTGAGCCCATTTGGGACCTCTCCCCCTCTGCTCTAATTTCAAAGGTGTACCCATCACCTCTATGAGGCCACTTTCTGAGCTGGTGGCCTTGTCCTGGTTTTCCAAATGGACATGGTGGTGTAGAAGCTCAGAACTTCCTTCCTTCCTTCCTAAGGTAGTTTCAGCCTTTCACCTAAACCAGAAAATGTTCCTACATCCATCTGTCCAGTTCATCAAAAGCAGATTTCCCTTCAGCGCCTGGATGTGGTTTGGGCTTTGTGAGTTCCTCTCAGCTTGAAAGTCCAACCAGCCAGGCATCTAGCATTTTCAGAAGGAAACCTCATCTGTAGCAGACTCCATATTTGTCTCTGTAATATTCTTCTTTACCCATCAACCTGAAAGGCTTCCTCTCTCTTTAGTGATAAGATTCTGACTCTGGTAGCCGTTCTCAGACATTTGACATGATGATTTGCAGGGAAATTTGCCAAATATCTGATGAGAAAAAATCTACTTTGTTGTTTTGTTTTTTTTAATTGCGGGTGTTTTATGGGGAGTAATTGTGTCATCCTGAGATGAATGTCATTAAAATGATTTTATTTAACTACAGTTTGGTGTCTTGTCTCCGATATTCTCATCACTGTTAGTCGCATTGAAAGTGACTTGTTCTGGATTATTGAAGACGTTTTTCTACCTGTCCAAGTGGCCTCTTCAGTGCTAATGAATGTCAGGAGCATCCGCCAGGGACTTGTAATTACAGCCAGGCAGGTAAGTCAGTCACCTTTATCACCATGATGTTGTGTAATGTGCTGATGTCCAAAAACATGGCAGGAGGTGAGAGAGTTTGTGAAAGCACCCCGTTCCATGTCCAAAATTCATTCCCATGTCCTCATGAAGGCTGCGAGAGGTGCTAATGACTTACAATGTGAATTGATGTCAAATGGCAGGGGTAGAGATGGTGTGGCAGGCCCCTACCCTTGTTTGGGAGGGTTGCTCCATATCCAGCCTCTTAGGAAACACTTTGTTCTATAAAATGTGCACTTCACTGCCCCTGAAAAGGTAAGTTCACTTTCTCTACAAATTAGGGCTGTTACTGATTAAAATTTTTGTGTTCGATTAATCGAAATTCTTTTTAATCGATTAATTTCGATTAATTATAACGCACACACAGAGCCAACTACATTGGCCTATACACATACAGCACAGCAATGAAGTAATAAAATGAACTAGGATCACACTAATCCAGCACGTTATTTATCTCACGTGCCCCACTCAATATGGCCGCCGCTTGAGTGGGGCAACTCAGAATAATAACGTGCTGGATTAGTGTGATCCTAGTTCATTTTATTACTTTATTGCTGTGCTGTATGTGTATAGGCCAAAGCCTTGGCTGGCGCTCATGCAGAAAGTTTTAAAAAAATGTTAATCGATCAAAAAGATTAACGATTAATCAAGAAATAAATCGGTAATTTGCACAGCCCTACTACAAATGTGAGAAAATAAAAACTCAGACAGCACCCTGCCACCTCCTATTGGCTCGCACAACACATACGTGTGATTCCCCTGCCAGGCAGTGTATGGTCACAGCCCTGCAATATGTAATGAGCATAATGCTCGCAAATGGTGAGTGTACATTGGTCAGCTCAGTCACATGACCACACTGACCAGCACTTGTTTCTTTCTGGACCTGTTCCCCCGCTCAGAAGTGCTTCTTATGGGTCACTAGTCATATGACCATGCCGACCAATGAGCGCTCACCATTTGTGAGCATTATACTCATTACATAATGTGGAGCTGTGAGGTGCGGTGTACAGACTGCACTCCTGCTGGCAGAGTATGTTATGCATGTTATGTTAGAGCCCAGTGGCGGCGCGCTTTACACCACGGCATCCGACGCTTTGCATTGCACTTGGTGATGTAAGGCTTGGCTGCAGCCGCTTGGCCATGGTAACCCATTCCATGAAGCTCTCTATGTGCCGTTGTTGTGCCAATCTGAAGGCCACACAAAGTTTGGAGGTGTGTAGCTATTGACTCTGCAGACAGTTGGCGACTTCTGCGCACTGTGTGCTTCAGTATGCGCTGACCCCGCTCTGTCATTTTACGTGGCCTACCACTTCGTGGCTGAGTTGCTCGTGTTCCCAGTTGCTTCCACTTTGTTATAATACCATTAACAGGTGGCTGCGGAATATTAAGTAGCCAGGAAATGTCACAGATGGACT